GAGGATGCCATGGATGCAATCGATAAGCTGGACAACACAGCCTTCAAAGGTGAACTCTTGGGCAGGATAGAGCTAGTTTGCTGTTTATAGATACCAATTTGGATTCTGTTCTGCCGCCATAAAGCTCTCGTGACAAGTAAAATCCACTAGCTGATATTTTTCCACATTAGTTGACAAGGTGGACTGAAAGTAATCACTTGTAGGTTTGGCTATTTCTCTGGCATAAAATCACTTGCACCTGGCGCGGCAAGTTATTTCGCTTGGCTCAGAGGTTGCCGGTCAAATGCATTGAACGTGTTTTATAGTCGATAAGAACCTTTTCGTGTCAGATCCCTACGGTCTCATGCGTGTCTTCTCTCTCCTTACAAGGCAAGCTGATGAGCGTACAGCTGTCCACCAGTCGGCTTCGCACTGCCCCAGGAATGGGAGATCATACCGGCTGCTATGTCTGCGGGAAACATGGTCATTGGTCGAAAGACTGTCCTGTCAGTCGGAACGGTAGCCACGGTGACGGCACAAGAGGTCGCAGCAGCCGGGACCTTCCACGCGGGCCCCCAGGTTATGGCAGGGGCGGCTACGGGATGGCCTCACCTCCACCAGCTGATTACATGGGAGGCTCTGCGTATAGTCGGGCTAGTTACGTAGGTGGGTTCCCGCCTCCCCCACGTAGGCTTAGCAGCTACAGCTCTGAGCTGGGGGATAGGTACGGCAGCAGAGCAGCAGGCTCCTATGCTGAGAGGCCATCAGCTTATGATCAGGAACGTCTCTATAGTAGTGTTGACTATTATGAGAAGTACAGAGCTCGCCCTTATGGCTCAAGTTATTTCGAGGATCGTCGCATGTCCTATATCCCCCCTCCCCCACCTCCCCCTTCCTCCCTCTCAAAGGTCTCGTCCAGTGTAGATCCATATGACCGTCGTCCACTGCCTCCATCTTCATCAGCCGCAGCAGCTGCTGCATACTATGCACGAGACCGCAGCCCGATCAGACGAGTACCAGTCTCCTCAGCAGGCTACGCCTACGAGCGAACACGGCTGTCACCGGTATCAGCTTCCAGGAGCTCCTATGCTGTGTCACGACCCAAGGATCATTATGCGCCACGCTATGCGCCTTACTAAAGCCATGGTGCCAAGGTGAGCAACAACAGTAAACAAAGTACGACATTTGAACAGTGCGAGATTTTACTGTAAAACGCTACTGGTCAGTGGGCACTGGGATCTCGAAATCCGTTGTAACGGATTTTTTTACGGTACTGAATACTTTGAAGCTGTGTTGCGGATAATGGAAGCTTAAACCCTGTTTCTGAAAAGGGAATGCTTTGCTCTTTTCCTAGGTCTGTTTGTGAACTGCAGGAGTTAACCTTTGCTTCAAACTACACGATTCCATCTGTCGGTGTGACGTACGGCAAAGCATATGAGATGCTGAAATTAAGACTGGAAATTGTGTTGGCATCTTCCAGGCATCTGAGATGCCAGTAGCCTGCAGATGAATTGTCCTTTCAGTTCCATTCACATAACCTGTTTTCAATAAGGATGATTTGCAAACTACACAGTTTGACACTTATGATGTATAAAACAATAATTTGCTTACTTGCTCTGCAGGTTTTCTGTTCAGTTTTTAGCCTCGTCTTTTTTACCTGTTTTTCTTCCTCACATGAAGCAAATTGTTATATTCAGAAAATGTTTGGCTTCTGTTTATGTAATTTAGAGGAAGTGTTCTTGTTTTATCAATATATGAACATTTATCTTCCTTTTTGAATGGGATGAGCGTTAACCCATGGTGTATGAGTTGCTAGTAATGCAGAAGAATCGTATTTTACTCTTAGACACACGTCTGACATGATCAGAGATACTTATAGGGATGTGGACATGTTTTTTTTTTTTTATCAAAAATTATCATTGGTGCCCAACAATATGCTGCAGAGGTCCATGACTCATCAGGAATATTTAATGACATTTAAAGCAAGTAGTTTACACTGAGAAAGGTTCTTTCTTTCATACTTGAAAGGTAGAGAAACACAGGGTTGGGTGGGAAAGAAAACCTGCAGGCTCTTTGACCTCTGTGGCGCGTGAATAAACTCACACTGAAGAAGACAATAGAGAAATGAATCTATATCCATGAAACTGACCTAGCTGACTGACAGTCAGCATACAGATTCACACTTTGAGGTAGAATCTAAGGAAAGACAATCTCAAACATTCCAATCTCAATCTTTCTAATTTGAATGTGTCTACAAAAGTTAAAATTGGCAAATTTTACAACACTGAATGAGATGTCTACAGATCTTAAGTCCAAAGTCTTGAAATAAAAGTGTCGTTGAGTGACACTTAATAAGAATGTTGGCTGACATGCACTATGCAACTAAGTAACATTGTGACATGTGTATTCTTCCCTCTGACAATGTTGCACGCTTTCCCCCGCAGCTGATAACAGAACCCATCATGTCTTGAATTTTAGTCAGGGATGGACGTTCATTATATCCATATAACGGCATAAGCAGAAAATGTGAGGCAGGACTCAGGGCTTGGGCTGTGTAAGTCGTGAGGTACTTGTGTTTTGTTGAAGGTGCCTTTGTTTTGCATATTGGTGGATTTGAAGTTTGTATTTTTCATACTAGCTGTAAAAGTACCAGCATACATAAAAAATCTAAAATGAATATGATTTTTTTAATAAAGCCAAACTTATTTTGGTGACATTCAGTTCTTTGTATTGGTTTGACATTGGTTGAAGGTGCAATGGAAAACTTGAGCATGAGGATTATGGGAATTTTAAGGGCATTAAACTCTGTCACCTGTAATGTTTTTTCCAAGACTATTAGAAGTGAGCAATATGGATAAAATCTAATTTCACTAGATATTTTTTAAAATAATGTCGGTTATGTACACGCCTCAGAATCATCAAATTCAGGTGTATAAAATCAACACTTAGGCATGTAGACCGGGTTCTACAAACATTTGTGAAAGAACGGGTCGCTCTCAGGAGCTCAGTGAAGTCAAGCTTGGTACTGTGATAGATGATTATACGAAGTGGAAGCAATTGGGAACAACAGAAACTCAGTCACGCAGTGGTAGGCCACATAAAATCCGTGAGCAGGGTCAGTGCATGCTGAGCACAGCGCGCAGTCGTCACCAACTTTCTGCAGAGTCAACAGCTACAGACCTCCAAACGTCGTGTGGCCTTCAGATTAGCTCAAGAACAGTGCGTAGAGAGCTTCATGGAATGGGTTTCCATGGTCGAGTAGCTGCATCCAAGCCTTACATCACCAAGTGCAAAGCAAAGCGTCTGATTCAGTGGTGTAAAGCACGCTGCCACTGGATACTAGAGCAGTGGAGACGAGTTCTCTGGAGTGACGAATCACACTTCTCTGTCTTGCAATCCGATGAACGAGTCTGGGTTTGGCTATTGCCAGGAGAACGGTACTTGCCTGATTGCATTGTGCCAAGTGTAATGTTGGAGAAGGGGGGATCATGGTGGGTTGTTTTTCAGGGGTTGGGCTTGGCCCCTTAGTTCCACTGACAGGAACTGTTAATGCTTCAGCATACCAAGACATTTGGGACAATTTCATGCTCCCAACTTTGTGGAAACAGTTTGGGGAAGGCCCCTTCCTGTTCCAAGATGACTGCGAACCAGTGCACAAAGCAAGGTCCATAAAGACATAGATGAGCGAGTTTGGTGTGGAGAACTTGACTGGCCTGTACGGAGTCCTGAACTCAACCCAATAGAACACCTTTGGATTGAATTAGAGCGGAGACTGCGAGCCAGGTCTTTTTGTACAACCTCACAAATGTGCTTCTAGAAGAATGGTCACAAATTCACATGAACACACTCAACCTTGTGGAAAGCCTTCCCAGAAGAGCTGAAGCTGTTATAGCTGCAAAGGGTGGGCCAACTCCATATTAAACCCTAAGGAGTAGGAATGGAATGTCATTAACCTTAATGTGTATGTAAAGGCAGGAGACCCAAACTTTTGGAAATATTGAGATGAAGTTTGACAGAATGTATCATCAGACCCCCTAATCTATAGAAGTACCAACCTGCGGGTTGGGACCCCTCCAAGGGGTCATAAGAAAAGTATTGTGTCAAACATTTATATAACATTTGTCATGTCTTTAATTTCATTGCTTCATTTAAAGGAGTCACAGCACGATAGGTTGGGACCAGCGGTAAAACACATTTTCAGATAATAGAAAAAAATGCTTAATGTTGGAAAGTTGTCAGACTTTACAACAATAAATATTGAAGAGCATAACATGATGGTCAGTCATGTTTTCAAGACCTACCCAAGTCCTGAAAATGCTAATTATGTCTCTCTTACTAGACAGAACTTTCATTGGTCATGTTAACATGTACTGTTTTCATAAAGGAGTAGATGTTCTAAGACCGTTTATTTAGGCCTAAATTTAAGGTTTAAGGCCGGTTTAAGTATTAGAAAATATACTGTTAAGAGCAGGGTTCGAGTTATAATCTGAGCTTCGTGGAGGTCTCTAGGATGCATTATAAAGTCAATAATACTGAACAAACAAGCAGCAGTCAATAAAGAGTACAATCGAGTTCATGTTCGCGGACTCAACCTATTCAGTGAAAACTGCGCAGTTATAGTACTAATTACAACGAAAAACACATTATTTGTGATTTATAATAATGGTTGTTGATAAATGAATTAGTGACCCCCACAGATGCATGATTTTACTGCTTCCATGGGAGCTCAGACCCTCCTTATGGGCTCCCACGTAACTCGAACCCTGCTTAAGAGTTATTTTTCATTATTTAACTTACTTAACTGCGTGAAGATGACGTGTATACATAAGGTATGTTTATAAGCAAGATCATAATTAAGGGATCATTTTTTCTCCATCTACACTAACATTAATGAACTTGATTTCTTTGTGAGATTAAAGCCCCCCAAAAGTTTACCCTAATATTCGTGATAAGGGAACCAACCCTCTAGTTCAGTTTGCTTAATTTCTGTCGTTGGTTTCCTTTTTTGTCCCTCGTCGCATTATGATGGCATGGCATTTAGCGCTGTGAGTTAGTCCGGCCCAAGCATAGACTGTAGATGAAAAGATCCCAAGACGTGCTAACCGAGCTAGCTGTAGGGCCTACGTCTTTGCTATGGTGTTCGCCTGGTCACGAGCTGGTAATGTAACGTTAACGTCAGTCTGGAAAGCGGCAGTCGTCATTTTATTCTCCGAGGGTCGAGACGCACACTGCAGCTTTCAAAGGTAAGATTAAACTAGTTTATCACAAAATGGGCAGAAATGGAAAGATACGTTTGTTCTCCAAATAGCCAATACTCTACAGTTACTAACGTTACTAAGGCCTACAACCAAAAGGGGTTGTGCATGTTAAGTTAAATGTGTGGATACGCTAAGCAGGCTAACGTTAGCTAACGTTATAATGAGAGCAGCGTGTTAAGTTAAAGCATCGTAAAACCGTGTAGAAGCATGTTACGTAGTATTATTACCGACTAAAACCAACCACAATGATCTATACGTATCGACTGTTTTGGCACTATTGTGGTCCGCTAACTTAGTTAACTTTACTTTGGTTAGATCTGCAGCCCACGGAAGGAAGCTGTAGAGCCGCGATGTGGGTGTGCGACTTCAAGTAACGTTATGACATAACGTAACGTTACATTAGCGAGGCCTATAGTGACCAGTCAACTACAAACAATCTAAATCTGCGCTGTTCTGCCTACGATCCTAGCTAAACATAAGCAGTCCATTCAGTCAAACAGATCACAGGCCTGCTGTGTTTAGCTAGCACAAAGATTCAGAGTCCTCTTAATTTACTGCTGCACCAAGAGCCCACAACATCGCTTTCGCTACCAACCGCTGGAAAGTTAATGTAATGAACGTTTAAACTGTTTACTGTATCACTGGCAAAGGACAACATTTCCCTCCGATGAATTACGTCACTCCTCTAACAACCACAGATATTAAGTTATTCGAAGATGCAGGGCGTCTCATCATAGTGGCAGGATTACAGTCATTTCTAAAATATTTGACAGATTTTCCAGTGCTAAAGTTTTGCCCCGTCATTTATGTACATTGTTGCATGCACTGCTCCTCATATCGATGGGTTGAATGCATTACCACATTATTTGGAGACTTGTGATGACCCCCGCCAACTTGAGGATAAGTGTTATTTCCAGCCACAGCAGCTCTGGGCTTCCTATTTGCATCACGATATGTTCGTGTGTATTTATGGGATGAAAATTGAAGTTGGTGTGTTTATCATTTGGACTGGTGAAATGAATGATTTGAAGATTCATCATACACTCAACTCAAAGAAATATTGTTTTGCCACTGGCATATTTTGTGTAGTGATTTGGAAAATGAGTTTACATTTAAACCTAGCTTCAAGGAGAAAAAGAACAGCAGTTGAAGAAATATAAAAAATAGTCTTATTTAAGTGCCCTTGTAGAATTTTTTTTTTTTTTTTTTTTGTGGTAAAACAAAGTATGTTAAGGTGTGTCGCTGTGCCCATGATGTGATCGGCACAGTATTGGATATGTGAGACTGATCAGCCGTGGCAGATCGATAATTCATCTCTATAACACACTAAATTAGGTTGCTTGGTTTAGGTTAAGTGTACATACATGTACGATACCACTGTGTATTACAGTAGGACGCAGCTACTCAAATAGTAACACTTCAGTTGAATTGTCTGTTCTGTTAAGTAGGGAGAGAAGATTTTCCTAAGCTGAAATACAGAGGCAAACTGTAGCTTTGTTTTGTGTCAAACTTTTGTTGAACAATTGGACCACCAAATCTGTCATGGTGAATCAAATAGACTCAGGATATTGTCACTGTTCAGTGGTTATCCACTGATCATTCATTGTTAGCAGGGTTCGTCACACCAAAGGAGTATCTCAGTGCAAGTTGCAGTCGCCTTGAGAATACATGCAAATGAATCAAGTATTAAAAATGAGAGTAATGGTAATTTGCATTAAGGTTAAATCAAATGGTCACAGTTTTAATTGCATCAGTAGACTTGTTGTACCAATAATTTTGGTTTCTTCTCCTCCCTTAGTGACGTGGACACTCCACAATGGTGAAAATATTCATCGGGAACCTGTCACCAGACACTACGTCAGATGAACTTCGCTCTCTCTTCTCCCAATATGGAAAGATTGCAGAATGCACCATTGTCAAGAACTTTGGCTTTGTGCATATGGATGACAAAGCGGAAGCAGAAGAAGCCATCCGCAATCTCCATCATTATGAGCTAAACGGCCAGCCCATGAATGTTGAATTGAGCCGTGGCAAGTCAAAAGGATCCACTAAACTGCATGTTGGCAACATTGCCTGTACCAACCAGGAGCTGAGGGCCAGGTTTGAGGAGTTTGGCGCTGTGTTGGAGTGTGACATAGTAAAAAACTATGCTTTTGTTCACATGGAGCGAATGGAGGATGCCATGGAGGCCATTAATCAGTTAGACAACACAGCTTTTAAAGGTGAACTCTTGGGCTGGGCTTAATGGGGAGTTAACCTTTATATTAAAGATATAGCATCAGGACTATTTAATGATGTTCTTGTGAATTAATAGGTAAATTATGGCTGCACCCCAGGTGAGTAAAAAGAAAAAGATGAAGGGATAACGGTAAGCTTAAGAAAGTAAGGCAGTCCTGAATACTTATTATTTTAAAGCTGGTATCCGTAATGTGATTGGTAATACCTATCATCTGTAAAGTGGACGGCACCAACTGAAATTGTGACTTGTCAGATCCCACCTGTTCTGGTAGATAATGCAGGTACAGTCATTTTAATTATATATTTTTTTTTAAGCAAAGCCAACTGCATGGCCCATTAAGGGCTGGATAAACATTGAACTGGATGTGCATGCAGTTGTGTTTATACTTAATTTAGTTTTTACACACAGTTTTGGTCACGCATGTATTATCACTCATACATTATGGGCTGCACGGTCCGCGCGAACCCTCGGAAACATGGGCACATGACCAAATTTTCGTCACACGGACCCTCGTAGCTACACAGACACGGGAAGTATCATTTGAGCTGTCAAACCTTGCTGACTTATTTCAAGTTTAGCTCTAGCTGATTGCAATCGCAAGCTCACGTGTAACCTTCCATGAAGACTTCTTTGCTGTAGTATGTACATCATTTGAGTTATGTTTTGCCACTGCAGGGGGAAAACCTGTGGAAAGTTACGGATTTCAGCTTTAAGAACTTTTTAATGCTCAAATCAAATGCCATGTCTTATTGCTATTTTTATAATTAAGAGACTTTTGTATGCCAGGCAGAAAATGTCTAATATATTATCTAGAATAAATGCAGGCATAAGTCCTCATTGAGTCTTTTCTTTTTAAGGCAAACTGATGAGCGTGAAGCTTTCGACTAGCCGCCTGCGTACTGCGCCGGGAATGGGAGACAGATCGGGTTGTTATCGTTGCGGGCAGGAAGGCCACTGGTCCAAAGAATGTCCTCTAGACCAAAATGGCTACCACAGAAACGGCTCAGAGCCAAAGTCTGATGGATACGATCCCTCGAGATTTGGCGGGCGTGGTCACAACAGGGGTTATCATCTGGACTTCAGTGGCGATCCAGATTATGGCGATGGCTATGCTCCTGTACATGGCTTTTCCCGGGGTTCTGGTCACAGCAGCAGCATGGCAGGGTACAGACGGGGTGCAGGCTACGAGAGTGCAATGAGATACGGGCCGCACCCAGGTTACGGCATAAGCGCTGTTGCTGAACATAGCATGGCTCGGATGTACGGCAGCGAGGCGGCATACAGGGGCAACGGCTCACTCTATGGCGCGGTACCACCCTACCCGATGCGACGGTCGCCTTACGAGGAAAGAGATCCGTACGGGGTCGTGGACTACTATGAGAAGTACAGGGCCAATTCTTACGGAGGCAGTTATTTCGAGGAACGTCGCGCTGTCCCCTTGCCTGCTCCATCAACCTCCTCCTCCACAGCTTTAATGAGGGAACGTCTGCCCCCCTCTAGCCTCGACCCATACGAGTGCCCTCCCCTTCCTCCTCCACCAGCCCCAGTCTCCTCATACTACGCACGTGACCGGAGTCCGATTCGGAGAGTCCCTGCCGAGGCAGAAGGATATACATATGAGCGTTCGCGCCTTTCCCCGGTGCCCGCCCACCCAAGAAGTTCTACCTATGACCATCCGCGGGATTCCGGCGCTGAACGGGCACGATATACATACTAATCCTTGTCCATACAGCAAGGTGAGAGCTGTCTGACATTTACTGGATAGCGTAGCCGAAGTGCCATTGAAATCACTGATGATCTCATTGGTTATTTTAAAAGCAAAAGTGAAGCCTCTGTATGTGAGGCGTGTGGGTAGTAAGAATAAGATAATTGGCGCAGTTCTGAAACGGCTTAGCCCACGTGTGCAAGTGCAGGAACTGGGTTTATCTACAACCTGGTGGACGTCTATTCATTATACTGTAACAACTCTTTTCCCCCTCTCAAAGTAGCTATATGGTCATACAATTTAGACTTAATTATTAGGAACAAATTAAATTAGTGCATGGTGCATGTTTTAAAGGTGAGTCATAGGGTTATGTTGATAAACGTTTGTGTTACTGTGTGCATTTTAGTGTATTTGTGTAAGTTCATGTTGTTACTGCATATGTGAAGCAATGGCAACACAAATATGGATTTGTATGCTTCATCACCTACATTGTTTAACCTGTTGACTTTAATGTCACACCTGTACCAAATATGGATCTGCACACTGTTTATATATATATATATATAAAAAACAAAAAACAAAAACACTTCTGTATTTGGGTTATATCAAACCTTTTTATGAATTTAAGTTGAACTTTTTGTCAAGGTGCATCGTAATCATGTTGTTTATTTGTCAGTAGGGACATTACTTATACTAACTAGCCTAGATTGTCATTGCTGTGATAAATATGAGGCATCACATCTTGAACATACGTTGTAGTTTTATAATTAAAATGACCTCAATGGCCTATGCTGTGTAACTATTGGGTTAAAATTAAAACCTGTTTGTCTGAAGATTGTCCTGTGTGTTTGTTGAGTCATCTGGTATACTGTCAAATGGCATTCGCATCAAGTGCAAGAATCAAAGAAAATAAAAGTCTGAGGTTGATCACATGAAAATGAACCTATGGGAAATCACTTAATTTCCCCAAAAAAGAAATGTCCCACAAATGCAGTTTGTGCTTCTGACATCAGTCCTGGATCATAGCAACTCTGAAGTGTAGGAAGAAATGATTTAATAGGGTGACACATGCAGTACAGCAGTTTAGCATGCACCATAAATGTCTTACATAAACAAGGTGGACTCAGGAAAAACTACAGGTGCTGGATCAAAAGGCAAGCAAAAGACAAGAATCGGGTTAAAGAGCTGCTTGCTGTATTACATGTATTACTCATTTGGGTGTCAAACTGAATAGCTATTTCAGCATTCATATTGGCAAATATAGAAATACTTTAAATTTGAGGCGTGAGTGGCAATTAGAGGTCTGGAGCCAAGATGATTTGTCAATGAAGCGGGTAATTGCCACAGGACATAATTGTTCTCGTGTTGGATTTTATTTGCACTGGTGGCATACACAGTGCCTTTAAAATTAGTTCTGCAAAGGCAGGAAATATATGAAAATATTTTCATGGGAGTATATATTAATTTATAGTTCATATTCAGTGCCATACCTTCTAAGCTTATTGGGCTTGTTAGAGTTAGGCAGGAAAATAACGGGATTGATAGTAACATGAGCCAATCAATTTTCAGAATGATGGTAACGAAACAACTTTGCCCAATAGAATACGACCTATGGGGAGGGTGTTTGTTCGGCCAATAGGAATGCTTTGTACTACAGCGGCTCATCCCACGTCCATGGACTCGTCCTTTGTGGTTTTCTGCCGGGCGCCATTTTGATTAAAGTAATGTGAAAGGGGATTGTCGGCAGTACTTTGCAAGATATTTTTCTCAGTTTAAACAAATTTATACTGTAGTCGATTGACATTTGACAGAGACTCAGTCATTTGAGTACAGCAAAAATGGCCACGGGAGCAAACGCAACTCCTTTAGGGAAGTTGCACCCCAGTATTGGCGCTAAACGAGGATTTGACGCAGGGCCTGGTGCGGGGAACGGGTTGATGCCAATACCGGGGCCGCCCGCATCCTTTCCTTCGCTACAAGGTTTCCAGCCCTCGATGGCAAGCCCATCTTTTCCACAGCCTCATCAGTTCAATCCGGCGACTAGTTTTCCGACCCAGCCTCAACAACAACCAGCTGCGGTAGGCGGTATGGCCAAAGCAGGTAAGTTAACTGAACATCTGCCAACGTTAAAAGCATTCGATACGACGTGAGTGAACGCTAGCACGCTAACGTGGCTAACATGAGTTAAATGCTTAAGGCCCCATATGAAGCCATGGCCTTGCACGAAATGGAGACAACACAGCTAACTTTAGTTAGCACATGAATTTTCGTGAGTAGCAAACGTTAATTAGCTCACTTAGGTTTGCGTTGAGGGTTAACTTATCCCTTTCAGTATTCGATTTTGCACACACCGCAGCTAATGTTGAACTGATTAATGTTACGCACTTTGTAAACGCTAGGTTAACCGTGAAATGTATGTGTAACGTTAACGTTGCCATGAACCAGTGGAACGTTAACGTTAATTTGCCGCGTTGTGTTATGTCTGGCTGTAAATCTGAGCTGACTTTTGATGAGTTAAACAAGAAATTGTGCTCCCACGAGGGCCCCATGGTGTCTGATTAAAGACGCCATATGCTCCTATATTCATTGCAGCTGCTTGTGGCTACTTTGGGATCGTTGCCTCTATCGATAAGCAAGGTCATGTTGAGTGGCGGTTGAATCAACGTTTTTACGTCCATCTAGTTAAGTTACGCATCGGTGCAGCACCCAACATCGATTACATCCTCCGTTTTTCTCAGTAGATTTCGGTCAGAAGAAACAGAGGAAGAGGAGTCGTTGGAGCAGCGAGACTCCTGATCAGAAGACGGTCATACCGGGCATGCCCACTGTCATTCCCCCTGGACTGACCCGGGACCAAGAGAGAGCCTATATAGGTAATTTTGTAATACATATCTCTAATTTATTAAGGTTGTCATGTACATATATAAATGCAGTAATGTTTTATAATATGTGTCATTTACATGTGGTTCTAGTTTTCTTACATGGTGCATACCAGTATTATGTTCTGTTTGCTGAATTCCCAACAGTTAGAGCTCTGTGAAGGCACCCACAATATGTGTTACTATAAAAACTCTCAATCACACGTCCAATGTGTTCAGCAGTAACATTACTGTTACACTAAATGTGTCATTTTGCTCCAACTGTTGAGACAAAGCAATAGCTTCCGATGAGCAGTGATTATTACTTGATGGTGTAAACTGTTAATTACGGTTATTTCTCTTTAATGGAAGTGGGTCTGCTGTGGCAAGTGTTTCTGTGGTCTTTTGGTTTGCATACCATTGGACAGCCATTAGCAAATAGGAGTTTAAAGTAGATGATTAAACGCTGCTGCTTGCTGCTGTCTGTCCCGAGCAGAAGGTCACTGCTCACTGTCTTGCTTGATCCCCTAAACATCATCAGTATTGTTCCTGTGCATGGAGGCATTACTCATAATGGCCTAATATGCTAAAGTGTGCTTATCTATATATTTGTCCAAGTGTGGACAATGCTGCTTCAATGGCAAATCAATCCAACAGAGTAAAATGATTCAACCAGCTGATTTAGTGGACATTACAAATTGGGAAACACTTGATTCCTGTTGCTGTGCTCCTAGTTTGGCCTGTTAAAAAAATCATATGAAACAAATAGTTTTTAACCACAAATGCCTTCCAGCAGCAGTGTAGCACCAACATACTGCCTGCACAGGCCCTCAGTGGGGGTTCTGAAGCAGATAAGTTGTTTTGTCAATAACTGATGGCGTTATTGATGATCACTCATTGGTAATGGTTGTTGTTCTTTGGTATGTAAACACTCATTTGTGCCCACCTTCCGTTGTCACATTTATCGTTTCCTTTGCTCATTCAGTAGATCCCCTTAAACAATCCAAGGGAAGCGTTTAAGATGAAATTGCCATGAACCACAATTCACAGGGCCTGTATTCATCTCTATAATCCAGAGTAATTGTTTCAGTGTCCAGTGAATCTCTGTGTTTGGGGGGTATTTCATTACAACTTTTCATAATGTGCATGGGATGATTTTTTTTCATAGCCTTCTAAATGTAAGAATTGTCTCTGTCACTGCAGCCTCAGTGTTAGATCTGTGGAGTGCAAAGTGTGCCTGAGATCACTTTTTTTGTTATTGAAAAATGCAAAACAAGTAGAGCAATCAGTGATTTTTAGACCCAATGTGTCCTAAAAATGCCAAAGCTGTAAAACACAATATGCTGCAGTATGTGAGGCCCTGTCTTCATGGAAGAAAACCACTGCTAAGGTTTAAAATATGAATGGTCTGGCAGGCATTTTTAGGAACCATGGTCTAGACATTTACTGATATGTTGCCATGTTTAATCATCTGATAAAAGCTTAGTCCTGTTTATGTAGAATACCTCTACAACATATTCATATTGGGTAATGTGTTGATGTAAGTGGTTTCATGCTTTAGAGTCTACCAGATGTTCATTTGATCTCCCTTTTATTTTTTATTTAACAGACTCACCATTTGTCTTTACCTCAGTAATGTATGAGGCAGTGCTCGAATGTGCAGAGCGATGTCTCTCTGATGTTGTTGTGGTAACCACATTTCTCTCCATCCTTGTTTTTCTTTCCTAACCTGAATTCTTCCAGTCCAACTGCAGATTGAAGACCTGACTCGTAAACTGCGTACAGGAGACCTGGGAATCCCTGTTAACCCTGAGGACAGGTCGGAAAAAGATTAAACCCATGAACAGTAACATTTTCTCTACCTTCTTGACTTTTTGGAAGACAAATGTTGATTTTTCAGTAAATATGTCGTTAGCCTAAATCAGACTGCTTAGTAGTATTAGCTGGCAGATGTAGTTTTATTTATCCTAGTGAAGGGCAGTGGTGTTGAGGTTTTCTACATTGTCAGAGCCCAGTGGTATAAAAAATATAGGTATATTAATATGTTTATAAAAACCCTCAGAGACAAATTAACAAATTTTATATATATAATAATATAATACACACACATTCAGGTTTCAGAATGATGTAGTTTTAAACAATGTTTCAATCTTGGATAAAAAACAACCATATTTTCATTGAAAATTGAAAAAGTTTTATAAAAGCAGGTTGGTATGGGTGCTTGGGGCACCCAGTATATATAGTTAATATATGTTGACTTTTAGATGTATTCCAGCTGAGACAACTTAGCAAGGGTTAGGGTCACTGCCAGTGCAAAGATAACTGGAATATTTGCATCTTTTTATTTGATTATTTCTCAGTTGACTTGACGGTCAAGTGGAATCGTTGCTTTAAATTTAGTTAATTTATGCATCATGGTTTCACCCACTGCTGCTTTTGTGTGTCTGATGTAGAGTGCTGTGTGACTATATGAATACATACGTATATGATGCATAATGTATAAAGATTTTCCTCTGACACAGGTTGGGGTCAATGCACCTTAATCTATGTAAACCTTTTTTTAGCTTTCATTATTTAACATCTTGTTAGCTTTACAGTTGAAATAGTTCAGATGAATTGGCTCTTTTAGAAAAGTAAGTTGGTGAGTAAAGATTCACACAAGCCCCATCAAATAATATTGCCTTGCCTGACTTTTTTTCTAACTGGATATTCTATAACTTTTTGCCAGTGATTGAGCTCATGGCGTGCAGCCTACATCATAACATACCAGGGATTCATAGGTCTTTATCTTGGACTTAATAAATGATTTGTCGCTGATCTCTGGTTTTCCCATAATGTGGCTTTAAACATTTCCACCCAGGGGTAAAGGGGGGCGTGTTCCAGTTTTCCCTCTGGACTCTTGCGGTCTGGAAGAAAACTTCCAGAAATGTATGTGTTCTGGAAAAGCAGTGGCCATCTTATAACATAACATAGTT